ACCATTGAGGTTACCATAACCTCTTGGCTGCTACATGCTAATTTGTTAGGGTTAGTTGCAAGTCTGGCTTAATCATCCTATCCCTCCCCTAGCCATGACACTAAGATTTAAGAGAAGTCACCCAGTTCCATATTTCTAGTATAATTATCACCCCCAGCCGGGCACAGTGGCTAACGCCTGTCATCCCAGCACTTTGGAAGGCCGAGGCAGGCAGATCACAAGGTTGGAAGTTTCAGACTAGCCTGGCCAACATGGTGAGACCCTATCTCTACTAAAAATAAAAAAATTAGCTGGGTGTGGTGGTGCACACCTGTAATCCCAGCTACTCGGGAGGCTGAGGCAGGAGAATTGCTTGAACCCAGGAGGCAGATGTGGCAGTGAGCCAAGATTGTGCCACTACACTCCAGCCTGGGCAACAGAGCGAGACTTTGTCTCAAAATAATAATAATAATAATAATTATCACCCCCAACCTCAAGCCATAATTCTGCCTGCCTCACCATCTTGAACCTCCCCAGAGAACTATTAGCTGTTTAACCATTTTCTCATAGAGACTATTAGGATTAATCCCATCCTGCCTTATATCCTTTTTTACTTCAGTTACTACCTGAAGTCCAAGCAACCTAGAGAACAGTGTATAATATGCTATCACGGTGCTAAAATGAGTATATTTGGCAGGCACAGTAGCTCACGCCTATAATCCTGGCTCTTTGGGAGGCCAACATGGGTGGATTGCTTGATTCCAGGAGTTTGGGACCAGCCTGGGCAACATGGCAAAATCATGGCTCTACAAAAAATACAAAAATTTGCCAGGTGCATGGCTCACACCTGTAATCCCAGCACTTTGGGAGGCTGAGGCAGGTGGATCACCTGAGGTCCAGAGTTTGAGATCAGCCTGGCCAACATGGTGAAACCCCGTCTGTACTAAATATACAAAAAATTAGCCAGGCATAGTGGCAGACGCTTGTAATCAAAGCTACTCGGGAGGCTGAGACGGGGAAACGCTTGAACCTAGGAAGCGGAGGTTGCAGTGAGCCGAGATCATGCCATTGCACTCCAGCCTGGGCAACAAGAGGGAAACTCCATCTCAAAAACAAACAAAAATTAGCCAGGCATTGTGGCATGAGCCTGTGGTTGCAGCTACTCCGGAGGCTGAAGGGGAGGATCACTGGAGCTTGGGAAGTCAAGGCTGCAGTGAGCCATGATCGTGCCACTGCATTCCACCCTGTCTCAAAAAACAACAAAAAAGGAGCATATTTAAAACATTTGTTTGAATATTCATGAAATATCTCTCAAAAATTTTACAAGAACTATGTAACAGGTAACACTGATACCTCCAGGGAGGGAAACCAGGTGTTCAGTGGGCTAAGGAAGGGAAATTGTTGACCTTATATATCCTTATGTAACTTTGAGTTTTGAACAGTGTGAATACATTTACCTATCAAATATATATATATATATAAAATATAATATAAAAATACTTCATTGACTGAATATGCTCAGTTAAGTAGGCACCGTGCTAGGGACTTGGAGTATATAAACAGGTGATTAATCACAGTCTCTACCCTTAAGGGGATGACCACCTAATGAGAGTATGAGAGTGAAAGTTAAGTATGTAAATTACTAAAAAGTAATTGATGCAATGATAATTGCTATATCAAAGAGATGAAAAACCTGGAAGCCACTGTCTCACAAATGGTTTTTTTTTTTTTCTCGGAGTCTTGCTCTGTCGCCCAGGCTGGAGTGCAGTGGCGCGATCTTGGTTCACTACAACCTCTGCCTCCCAGGTTCAAGCGACTCTCCTGCCTCAGCCTCCCAAGTAGCTGGGACTACAGGTGCCCACCACCATGCCCAGCTAATTTTTGTATTTTTAGTAGAGACGAGGTTTCACCATATTGGCCAGGCTGGTCTCGAACTCCTGACCTTGTGATCCGCCCGCCTCGGCCTCCCGAAGTGCTGGGATTATAGGCATGAGCTACTGCGCCTACAAATGGCTTATTATTTAGGTATTTTTTATATATATATATTATATATTATATATTATGACTCATTTCCTAATGGTTTGGGGCATTTCAATTTTTTTCAGGACGTAAGGCTGACATTGGTTTTCTTGCAGGCTCCTCCTCCCCATCCCTTTGCCTCCCATCCTACCCTTTGCCATTTCTTTCTTTTCTTTTCTTTTCTTTTTTTGAGATGGAGTCTCACTCTGTTGCCCAGGCTGGAGTGCAGTGGCATAATCTTGGCTCACTGCAACCTCTGCCTCCCGGGTTCAAGCGATTGTCCTTGCCTCAGTGTCCTGAGTAGCTGGCATTACAGGTGTGCACCACCACACCCGACTACTTTTTTAATATTTTGGGTAGAGACAGGGTTTCACCATGTTGACCAGGCTGGTCTCACACGCCTGACCTGAAGTGATCCACCTGCCTCAGCCTCCCAAAGTGCTGAGGTTTCAGGTTTGAGCCATTGCACCTGGACCCCTTTGCCATTTCTAATCTGGGAATTATTTAGTTGCTGTGTTTTTGTTTTAATTCAAACAAACAAAAAGATTAACAGCTTACTGACATATTATTTACGTAGCATAGAATTCACCCATTTTAACTGTACAATTTGAAGAGTTTTAACACATTTAGGCAACCATCACCATAATCCAGTTTTAGAACATTTTTGTCACACCAAAAAGTTTCTTCATGCCCATTTGCTTTCTGTCCTTATTGTTTTCCCTTTTCTTGATTTTTTTCTTTTTCTGTTTTTTTTTTTTTTTTTAGTGATGGAGTCTTGCTATGTTGACCATACTGAAGTGCAGTGGCTGTTCACAGGCACAATCATAGTGTACATCAGCCTCCAATTCCTGGGCTCAAGTGATCTTCCTGCCTCAGCCTACTGAGTAGCTGGGACTACAGGTACAGGCTCTGCACCCAGGTCTCTTGTATTTTAGTTTTTATTTATTCAGTTAATTTATTTATTTTAAGACAGGGTCTCACTCTGTCACCCAGACTGGAGTGCAGTAGTGCAATCACGACTCACTGCAGCCTCGACCTCCTGGATTCGAGCCACCCTCTTACCTCAGTCCCCTGAGTAGCTGGGACTATAGGTGTGCCCCACCATGTCTGGCTAATTTGTGTATTTTTTGTAGAGATAGGATCTTGGCATGTTGCCCAAGCTTGTCTGAAACTCCTGGGCTCAAGCCATCTGCTCATCTTAGCCTCTCAAAGTGCTGGGATTACAGGCATGAGTTATTGCTCCTGGCTGTATTTTAATTTTTTAATAGATGGGTCTTACTATGTTGCCCAGGGTGGTCTCATCCTGGCCTCAGACAATCCTCCTGCCTCAGTCTCCCAAAGTTTTGGGATTATAGGCGTGACACACTGCATCCAGCCTCTTGTATTTTTTTTTAATTTTTTTTTAGCCAGAGTCTCATTCTGTCACCCAAGCTGGAGTGCAGTGGCATGATCTCGGCTCACTGCAACCTCCACCTCCCAGGTTCAAGCGATTCTTCTCTTTCAGCCTACAAATGTGCGCCACCACACCTGGCTGAATTTTTTTTTTTTTTTTTTTTGTATTTTTAATAGAGACTGGGTTTCACCACATTGGCCAGGCTGGTCTCAAACTCCTAACCTCATGATCCGCCTGCCTTGGCCTCCCAAAGTGCTGGGATTACAGGCGTGAACCACCACTCCTGGCCGTATTATTTTTTAGAGAGGAAAAAGAATAATGAATTCATACTGATATTTTCGACTCAGGTCTTCAGGTGTGGCATCTTCTTTTGCCACACCTTGTAAATCTGAGACAAATTGGTTGGCATTGAAGCTGAGCCTGGAATTTGCCAACATGTTAAATGGTGTGTGACCCTCTCACTTCCCTTTGGAAGAGTTACTGAAGTTGATGCTAACAATACTCATTTATCTTCTCCTCCAACTCTCTGCCAATTCACCTTGGAGTGGCTTGGCTCCATTTCCTTTTAATACCCTGATTTAGAAAAACGCGAATGCATATGAGACCGATCATAAAACGAGGATCAATCCTGCAAGATAGATGCCAAAACAAATGCAATGATGTCACATTAGGGTTTTCTAATTTAACTTGTATCAGATGCCAACATGCACAAAGTACTGTGCAGAGCCCAGCGTGAAGCAGAGTCCCTAGCTACAGGGGTTGCAGTGGGAATGTGGAGGCCAGAAAAACCCAGGGAATTGTATGATACAATCCCAGTGGTTGGGAGGAGGTTATTATGCAGAACAGTGACACTGAGCCATTCTGCATCCCTGTTGTGTAGATTTCTGATGAGGGCCCCTTCTTTTCATCTCTTGTTTTTCAAATTAGCTAGGAGACAGCAAATGGGGAATTCAGGAAATTTGCTTTAAGCCATTAGCTAGGTGGAGTAGAACGCACCCTTGCTTGACCTGGGCAGCACACGGCTGCTTGTGGTGTGGGGTGATATAGAGGAGACTTCAGAGGAATTGAGACAAGGCTGGGGAGATCCTGCTCAGTCCCAAGGGTGATGGCAGAACCCAAAAGTCCTTGACGATGTGACTGTGCTACATGTGGACTATGTCACAGTAGGTGGGTAAACTCTCTGTATTGTTTTTTTTTTTGGGTGGGGACAGAGTCTCATTCTGTCGTCCAGGCTGAAGTGCAGTGGTGTGATCTCGGCTCACTGCAGCCTCCATCTCCTGGGTTCCAGTGATTCTCCTGCCTCAACCTCCTGAGTAGCTGGGATTACCGGCACCCATCACGCCCAGCTAATTTTTGTATTTTTAGTAGAGACGGGTTCTCACCATGTTGGCCAGGCTGGTCTCACCATGTACCTTCCCTTAGGGTAAAATATAGTTATTCTGATGATTAAATTGAGGAAAGAGAGAGACCCTCTCATATTGTTTTATATTGTTTTATACTCAGTACCTGTTTTAAGAAAAAAACAAGGTAGCAAAACCAAAGACAGGCAGCCCAGTGCCAGGCCCAAAACCAGGCCTGGGTCTGCCTGGCCTAAACCCAGTAGTTAAAAATCAACTCACAACTTAGAAACTGATGTTATTCATAGATTCCAGGCATTGTATAGAGGAACACTGTGAAACTCCCTGCCCTGTTGTGTTTCTCTCTGACCACCGGTGCATGCATCCCGTGTCACGTACCCCCTGCTTGCTCAAATCAATCACGACGTTTTCATGTGAAATCTTTAGTGTTGTGAGCCCTTAAAAGGGACAGAAATTGTGCACTTGGGGAGCTCGGATTTTAAGGCAGTAGCTTGCCGATGCTCCCAGCTGAATAAAGCCCTTCCTTCTACAACTCGGTGTCTGAGAGGTTTTGTCTGTGGCTCGTCCTCCTTTTCTTGGTTCCCTGACCGGGAAGCGAGGTAACTGAAGGACGGCTGAGGCAGCCTCTTAGGAGGCTTAGGCCTGCCCTGTGGAGCATCCCTGCGGGGGACTCCGGCCAGCCTGAGTGACGCGATCCAAAGAGCAGGTAGGCAATTGTCCCGGTGGAACGCCTCAGAGCAGCGTGTAGCAGGCCCCCGCAGAGGATTAACATAGTGGCTGAACACCGGGAAGGAACTGGCACTTGGAGTCCGGACATCTGAAACTTGGTAAGACTAGTCTTTGGAACTTGCCCTGCTCCATTTGAGTGGAAGCGTGGCCTGATCACCCACGGTGTGCCTGGACCGGCACTTTTGTTCTGGTTTTGACTTGACTTGAATTGCTGGATACTTTGGTTTTGGTTTTGACTTGGCTTAAATTTCTTGGTACTCGGATTTTGAATTTCGTGGTATTCTGATTTTGGTTTGGTATAAACGATAAAAGTGTGTGTGTGCCCTCTCTACTCGTTCTTTGTTTTGTGGTGAGTGTGTGTGTTGTGAGCATGGTATTTACTCTTGGGAAAACATGGGTCAGGCGCAAAGTAAGCCCACCCCATTGGGAACTACGCTAAAAAATTTCAAGAAAAAAAAAGTGGGGGGAGACTGAATTTATATAAAAAGAATGTTTATAATAAGTCAAAAAGTTGAGACATGTCAAAAAATTGTCTGCAAAAGTCGTAAAAGAAAAAAGTTATAAAAAATTTTTTTATGCAAAAAATGTATAATTTAAAAGTAATAAGGCCTCCTGAGTACTATTGAAGAAACAGTTATGTGCAAGGTGTATAAGAAAAGTAAAATATACCTTTGGTAAAAAGATTATAAGGAGGCATAAAAATGTGGATTTTTAATCTACATTAAAAGGTTAAAAAAATTATACTGTTTTAAAAGTTTAAGCAAGTTTAAAAACGTTAATTGTAAAGAAAATTCTGTGTGTAAACATATTAGCTAAAGTTAAAAAGGTATCATCCAGGTTTTCTGTGAACTGGACGTTAAAGTAAAATGCAACAGGTTTTTCTTAAAGCATCAACCTGCTCTTTAACAAAAATTATAAAAGGTTAAAAAGAGTCTATAAAATCTTACCTTACAGTCAAACATAAAAAATTGGATAAATATGTCTACAAGGTTTTATTAAAATTAAGTTTAACATTAATAACACACTAATATAAAGGTAAAATTTAGCTTATCTGGTATAAAAATCATATAAAAAGCATTATTAAATATAAAATGGTGTTTAGCTTTTTTTTTGGTCAAAAAACTAGTAAAAATAGGTACTAAAGGAAATGTTCATTTTACTAGAGGATCATAGAAGTTAAAGACTTAAAACAAACTTTGACAATTAAGACAGCATACCAAGATGCAAATGCCTGGTTGAAATGGATCAAATATTCCATCTGCATGTTAAACAAAAGCAATTGTTATGCTTGTGCACATGGCAGGCCAGAGGCCCTGACTGTCCTCTTCCACTAAGGTGGTCCTCCAGTAGACCAGGCGTGGACTGCATGGTACCTCTTTTCCAGGATTCTACAGCCTGGAGTAATAAGTCATGCCAAGCTCTCTCTGCTATCCCAAAGTCCCTGCAGGTCAGCCCCCGAGGGCCATCCAGCTTCGGTTTCCCAACACTAAGTTCACTTCGTGTCTCTCACGGCAAGGAGGAGACTTAGCATTCCTTGGAGACCTAAAGGGATGCGGTGAGCTTAAGAATTTTCAAGAGCTTATCAATCAGTCAGCCCTTGTTCATCCCCGAGCGGATGTGTGGTGGTATTGTGGTGGACCTTTACTGGGCACTCACCAAATAACTAGAGTGGCATTTGTGCTTTAGTCCATTTGGCTGTCCCTTTCACCCTGGCATTTCATCAATCAGAAAAAATATATAATAATAATAATAAGAAGAAGAAGACATCATAAAGTGAGAGAAGCCCCTTATAGGTCTTTCAACTCTCACATCTATTTAGATGCAATTGGAGTCCCACAAGAAATACCAGATCAATTTAAAGCTTGAAATCAAATAGTTACAAGATTTAAATCAATATTTTGGTAGATGACAGTGAATAAAAATGTAATTAAACTACATCTATTACAACCAACAGCAATGAGCTTTTCATGAGTTGAAAAGAAAAACTCATGTTGGCCCTAGCCCTGAGGCTACCTGACCTGACAAAACTCTTTAAACTCTATATGTCAAAAAAAAAAAAAAAAAAAAAGGCAGTTGGAGTTTTAACCCAGACTGTAGGGCCCTGGCCAAGGCCAGTGGCCCATCTCTCAAAACAACTAGATGGGGTTTCCAAAGGCTGGCCCCCGTGTCCAAGGGCCCTGGCAGCAATGGTCATGTTAGCACAAGAAGCAGATAAGCTAACTCTTAAGCAAAACCTAAACATAAAGTCCCCCCATGCTGTGGTGAATTTTAATAAATACCCAAAGACACCATTAGCTAATAAATGCTAGACTAACTAGATACCAAAACTTGTTCTGTAAAAATCCCCGCTTAGCTATTGAAGTTTGCAACACCCTAAACCCGCCACCTTGCTCCTGGTATCAAAGAGCCCAGTTAAACATAACTGTGTAAAACTATTGGACTCAGTTTATTCTAGTGGGCCTAACCTCCGAGACCATCCTTAAACATCTGTAAACTGGGAGCTGTACGTGGATGGGAGCAGCTTCGCTAACCCCTGCAAAGTGACTCTGAAAAAGACAGCAAGCCCTGCTCCAGTCACACCCGGAAGCTGACTGGTCCACACGCCGCTGAAGCATGAGGAAACTCATCGTGGGACTCATTTTCCTTAAAATTTGGACTTGTACAGTAAGGACTTCAACTGACCTTCCTCAGACTGAGGGCTGTTCCCAGTGTATACATCAAGTCACTGAGGTAGGACAAAAGATTGCTACAGTTCTCTTATATTATGGTTATTATAAGTGTACGAGGACTCTGAAAGAAACTTGTTTGTATAATGCTATTCTATCCAAGGTATGTAGCCCAGGAAATAACCAACCTGATGCATGTTATGACTCATTTTAAGCCTCCCATGATCACATTTTTAAAATAAGACTAAGGACTGGTCCTTTTCTAAGTGACACAAGTAAAGTAATAGCTAGAACAGAAGAGGGGTCCCCAGAAATGTAACCTTAAAATTTGATGCCTGTGCCGCTATTAATAGTAAGCAGCATGGGATGGGATGCGGTTCTCTAGATTGAGAAAAATAAGCAGAAAATAAGTATATCTGTCAAGAATCATATTTTTGTGAAATGTGTCAATACTGGTCTTGTGTCATTTAGGCTACTTGAAAAAAAAATTAAAAATTAAAAAAATCCTGTTTGGCTCCAAAAAGGAACAGTCAGCCCCTCCTGCATGAGTGGGAGCTGCAACCCTTTAGAATTGGTCATCACAAACCCCTCAGACCCAAAATAGAATAAAGGAGAATACGTAACATTAGGCACTGATGAAAAAGGACTAGATCCTAGCGTAAGCATCCTAATAAAAGGAGAGGTTCAAAGATGCTCTCCAGAACCGGTATTTCAGACTTTCTATGATGAACTAAATGTGCCAGTACCTGAGATTCCAGGAAAAACTAAAAATTTGTTTTTGCAATTAGGCGAACATGTCGCCCAGTCTCTGAAAGTCACTTCATGTGATGTTTGTGGAGGAACCGTAACAGGAGATCAATGGCCATGGGAAGCCCAAGAATTAGTTCCTACAGACCCAGTTCCTGATGAATTCCCGGCCCAAAAGAACCACCCTGACAATTTTTGGGTTCTAAAAGTCTGAATTATTAGACAGTATTGCATAGCTAGAGAAGAAAAAAAATTCACTCATCCTGTAGGGCAGCTTAGTCGTCTTGAGCCAAAGCCGTATAATTATACCACAAAAACAGTTACTTGGTGGACTTCCAATTATACAGAAAGAAATCCATTCAGTAAATTTCCAAGGTTGCAGACTGTCTGGGCCCACCCAGAATTCCACCAGGACTAGACTGCCCCCACCGGGTTATACTGGACATGTAGACATAGAGCCTACGCTAAGCTGCCTGACCAGTGGACAGGCGGTTGTGTTATTGGCACTATTAAACCATCTTTCTTCTTACTGCCCATAAGAACAGGTGAACTTCTGGGCTTCCCAGTCTACGCTTCCCTCAAAAAATGAAGCATAGCCATAAGTAATTAAAAATATGATAAATGGCCCCCTGAAAGAATCATACAATACTATGGACCCGCCACTTGGGCACAAGATGGCTCATGGGGATATTGGACCCCCATCTACATGCTCAACTGAATCATATGGTTACAAGCTGTTTTAGAACTTATTACTAATAAAACTGGTCAAGGTGTGACTATTCTGGCCCAGCAAGAAACTCAGATAAGAAATGCTATCTATCAAAATAGATTTGCTCTCGACTACTTACTAGCAGCTGAAAGAGAGCTCTATAAGAAATTTAACCTTACTAATTACTGTCTACACATAGATAATCAAAGGCAAGTAGTTAAGACATAGTCACATGTGCCCATACAAGTATAGCACAAATTCGACCCTGAAGCCATGTTTAAAAATTAATTTCCAGCACTAGGAGGATTTAAAACTCTTATAATAAAAGTTATAAGAGTAATAAGAACCTACTTACTGCTCCTTGTCTGATATCTGTACTTCTCCAAATGATAAAAAGCTTTGTTGCTACCTTAGTTCACCAAAATGCTTCAACACAAGTGTACTATATGAATCACTATCAATTTATTGCACAAAAAGACATTAGCAAAAATAAGAGTGAGAACTCCCACTAATAAAAAGTGAGAGTCTCAAAAGGGGGGAATGAGGAAAGAGAGAGACCCTCTCATATTATTTTTATTGTTTTATACTCAGTACCTGTTTTAAGAAAAAAGGAAGCAAAACCAAAGACAGGCAGCCTGGCGCCAGGCCCAAAACCAGGCCTGGGCCTGCCTGGCCTAAACCCAGTAGTTAAAAATCAACTCACAACTTAGAAACTGATGTTGTTCATAGATTCCAGACATTGTATAGAGGAACACTGTGAAACTCCCTGCCCTGTTCTGTTTCTCTCTGACCACCGGTGCACACAGCCCCTGTCATGTACCTGCTGCTTGCTCAAATCAATCACGACGCTTTTATGTGAAATCTTTAGTGTTGTGAACCCTTAAAAGGGACAGAAATTGTGCACTCAGGGAGCTCGGATTTTAAGGCAGTAGCTTGCCGATGCTCCTAGCTGAATAAAGCCCTTCCTTCTACAACTCAGTGTCTGAGAGGTTTTGTCTGCGGCTCGTCCTGCTACAGAATAATTCATGTGTAGTAGCTCCATGACTTATGATGGGGTTGCATCTAGAGAAACTCATGGTAAAGGAGAAAAATCCCAAATCAAGCCATGTTAAGTCGGGGACCAGCTGTGCTAATTGTAGACACTCAGTAAATGCTAACTCTGATGATGGTGGTGATCTCTGTTTCTTCGTCCTGAGAAATTTCTTTCTTCTTTTTTTTTTTAAAGGCATGGTCTGGCTCTGTTGCCCAGGCTGGAGTGCAGTGGCATGATCTCAGCTCACTGCAACCTCCACCTCCCCGGCTCAAGCCATCTTCCCTCCCAAGTAGCTAGGACTACAAGCACACGCCACCACACCCGGCTAATTTTTTTTTTTTTTTTTTTTTTGCAGAGATGGGGTTTCACTATGTTGCCCAGGCTGGTCTTGAACTCGAGAGCTCAAGTGATCTGCTCACCTCGGCCTCTCAAAGTGCTGGGATTACTGGTGTGAGCCACCGTGCTGTCAGTCCTGAGAAATTTATAAGAGTACCCTGGTACCCGCTCTTTGGATCACTCAAGTCTGAGGGTCGAAGTTTGTAATCAAAACCAAATTCCCTTCTTCTACATCTTTTCACTTGCATAGATCATCCTCCCACCTTCCTAGACTGCCTCCATCATTCAAAATAAAGTGAGTGTAGACGCAGACCGAACTCTGAAGTTCTCTCTGAATCAATCAACCAATATTTGCATGAGCAGCACGTTAGATGGCTAGTGATCTAACAGCTCTTGCCTTTAAGGAACTTTCAGTCTTACTTGGAGAGTTACAATTAAGAAGTGCACAATTAAAGAATAACTCAAAAAATTAAAGTGGAGTGATGATTATATGCCATAAGTAATTAAATAATAAACCAATAATGATTTGGTACTTAAGAGGTAATAATAAAATAACAGCTAATATTTCTGAGCCTATGCTATGTATCAAATGCTTTGTTCAGTGCTTTATATGCATGATTTGTTTAATTCAATCTGCACAAGAGTCCTCTAAGGTAGCTACTATTAGCATCTCCCTTTTCAGAAGAGGAAGCTAAAATTCAGACAAGTAGCTTGCTTGAGATCACACAGCTGATAAATCGAGGAATATGGAACACAGACAACACGTAATATATTAGTCCATTCTCACATTGCTATAAGAAAACTACCTGAGACTGGGTAATTTATAAAGAAAAGAGGCTTAATTGACTCACAGTTCCACTGGCTGTATAAGAAGCATGGCTGGGGAGGCCTCAGGAAACTTGCAGTTAAGGTGGAAGGTGAAGGGGAAGCAGGCACGTTCTTCATGGCTGGAGCAGGAGGAAGAGAGAGCAAAGGGGGAAGTGCTACACAGTTTCAAACAACCAGATAAGGCCAGGTGTGGTGGCTCACGCCTGTAATCCCACCACTTTGGGAGGCTGAGACAGGTGAATCACCTGAGGTCAGGAGTTCGAGGCCAGCCTGGGCAACATGGTGAAACCTTGTCTCTACTAAAAACAAAAATTAGCAAGGTGTGGTTGCAGGCATCTGTAATCCCAGCTACTCAGGAGGCTGAGGCAGAATTGCTTGAACCCTGGAGGCGGAGATTGCAGTAAGCTGAGATCAGGCCACTGCACTCCAACCTGGGCGACAGAGCAAGACTCTGTCTCAAAAAACAAACACACAGGCCGGACGCGGTGGCTCAAGCCTGTAATCCCAGCACTTTGGTAGGCTGAGACGGGCGGATCACGAGGTCAGGAGATCGAGACCATCCTGGCTAATATGGTGAAACCCCGTCTCTACTAAAAAATATACAAAAAAAAAAAAAAAAAACTAGCGCGGCAAGGTGGCAGGCGCCTATAGTCCCAGCTACTCAGGAGGCTGAGGCGGGAGAATGGCGTAAACCCGGGAGGCGGAGCTTGCAGTGAGCTGAGATCTGGCCACTGCACTCCAGCCTGGGTGACAGAGCAAGACTCCTTCTCCAAAAAAAAAAAAAAAAAAAAAAAGAAACACACACAAAAAACCAACCAGATCTCATGAGAGTTTATTCGTTATCACGAGATCATGGGGGTGAGGGGAATCCGCCCCCATGATCCAATCCCCTCCAACCAGGCCCCTTCTAACACTGGGGATTACAATTTTAACATGAGATTTTGATGGGGACACAAATCCAAACCATATTACATAATAAATGAGTACAGAGGTAGCAGATGTTAATGTCAGCTTAAGTTGAGGTTAGCCGCAAATTCTCACCTTTTTTCCAGAGTTCCCCATCAGGTGGAACAAAGCTTGTCCTGTTACCTCCCCTCAAACACAAACCAGCAACCAATTCACCACCCATCCACCCTTCAGTGTCTTCTCATTGCTCTTTAGAGAAAGGCATGGCCTGGCAGGCTCTGCATGGTGCCACCGGCCTATCCAGCTCCTGTCTCTCCTGCATTTACTTCCCTACTGGCTGCTTTCACTCTTTAAGCTCCTGCCTACCCCAGGGCCTTTGCACGTGCCATTTTTCCTACCTCCTCTGCTCTTCTGCCCTCTTCATCTAGGCAACTTCTACTCATCCTTCAGATCCCAGGTCAAGCATCTCCTTCTTCAGGGAAGCTTTGCCTGATATCCCTGATGGGGTCAAATCCTCCTCTTAGAGGCTATCACCACATGCTGCATCTCTATTTTGTAACACTTGTCTCAGTATTACATTAGTCTGGTTCTTTGATTGATATCTATTACTCTTACTAGATTATAAGCCCCAGAAAGAATGAGACTGAAGCTATTTTTACTCATCATTGTGTTTTCAGCACCAAGCAAAGTGCCTAACACATAATAGGCACTCAATAAATATTTGTGGAATAAACTGAGGAATAAGTAAAGAAGACAGAAGATTTAAAACATGAAGGGGCCTACAGATGGGAAAGGGCTGGGGAGGGAAGAGGAGGTGTTCAAGAGAGGGAACCGAAACCAATGAGGCTACTTGTAAGTGATCTTGGAGTGTACATGAGCAGAACACAGACAAACCCCCGAAGCGGCAGTCCGTAGATCCATAGAGATGGTGTCAATGCCTGCTGAGTTGGTTAGCCTATCCCACACTTCTATTCATTGTTAAAGGCATCTCCACATATAGGTAACCACTCACTAAATTATGCTTTTGCTCAGGAAGTGCCTTTGCAGAAATTCTCCCTTTGCCACTTCTGAAATGTGTAGACAACTCCTCAACCAAGACTTGGAGGCTGGTACCAACATCCAGAACGTTCTGGGCCTCAAAAAAAAAAAAAAAAAAAAAAAAAAAGGTTAAATAAATAAGAGAAAAACTCCTGAAAGTTCTGGGTCTCTAGCTTTCCTGCTTCCCAGCCAGTCCTTGGTGAGGAAGCAGGTGCCGCACAGGGTTTATTCTTGCTTAAGGGAAATGAAGCACAATCTTGTGCTCTGTCATGCGTAGAATTGTACCCCCTCCACAATAAATGTTCAAGCCCTAGCCCCCAGTACTTGTGGACGGGACCTCATTTGGAAATAGGTCTTTGCACATGTACACAAGTTACAATGGAGTCATACTGGATTAGGGTGGACCTTAATCCGATAACTGCTGTCCTTCTAAGAGAGATTTGGTTGGGAGGCCGAGGCGGGTGGATCACGAGGTCAAGAGATCGAGACCATCCTGGCCAACATGGTGAAACCCTGACTCTACTAAAAATACAAAAATTAGCTGGGAGTGGTGGCGTGCACCTGTAATCCCAGTCACTCGGGAGGCCGAGGCAGGAGAATCACTTGAACCCAGGAGGCGGAGGTTGCAGTGAGCCGAGATCCCACCATTGCATTCCAGCCTGGTGACAGAGCAAGACTCCATAAAAAAAAAAAAAAAAAAAGAGATTTAGACACAGAGACAGAAGACAAAGCCATGTGATGGCAAAGGCAGAGACTGGAGGGATGCATCTATAAGCCATGAATGCCAGTTCTTGCTTGCAGCCACCAGAAGCCAGGAAGATGCAAGGGAAGGGCCTCCCTTGGTGCCTTCAGAGATATCATAGGCCACTGACACCTTGATTTTTGACTTCTGGCCTCCAGATTGTGAGAGACCAATTTATGTTTTAAGCCATCCAGGTTTGTGGTAAATTTGTTACTGCAGCCCTAGGAAATGAATCCACACTTTCTGCTTTGTTTTTGTTTTTGTTTTGACACAGAGTCTTGTTCTGTTGCCTAGGCTGGAGTGCAGTGGTGCGGTCACAGCTCATTGCAGCCTCGACCACCTGGGCTCAAGTGATCCTCCTGCCTTAGCCTCCTGAGTAGCTGAGACCATAGGCGTCCACCACTACACCCAGCTAAATCCATCCTCTCAGAAGGCAGAGTTACCGTTGAAGCTCAGATAGGAAAACTCATCTAGGATACAAACAAAGAGACCCAGTTTTTTAAACCAAGTTTCTGTAGAATAGAGCAAAGAAAACTAGATGCAGTGGCAAAATAGACTCTAGAAATAGCAGACACTCTTGACATTGGAGTGTACAATTATTGTAAGGTGCATTGCTACATATAGGCACTTATGTCCGGA